ATGAAAACATGCTCAACATCACTAGCCATCAGAGAGATGAATTTTTTTACTTTTATTAAATTGTTGTTCAAGTACAGTTTTCTGCCTTTTGCTCCCTTCCCAGCCCACCCCCCTCAGCCTTCCCCACCTCCCTCCCATTTCTAATCCCCCTTCTTTCTGTCCATGTGTCCCCCATACTTGTTCCTGCAAGCCTTTCTCCTTTTCCCCTGAAATTCCTTCCCCTCTCCCCTCTGGTCACTGTCAGCCTGCTCCCTATTTCAGTGTCTTTGGTTATATTTTGCTTGTCCATTTGTTCTGTTGATTAGATTCCTGTTAAAGGTGAAATCATATGGTATTTGTCTTTCACCACCTGGCTTATTTTGCTTAACATAATGCTTTTTAATTCCACCCATGCTGTTGCAAAGGGAAGGGGCTCCTTCTTTCTTTCTGCTGCATAGAATTCCATTGTGTAAATATGCCATAGTTTTTTGATGCATTCATTTGTTGATAGGCACCTAGGTTGCTTCCAACACTTGGCTATTGCAAATTGTGCTTAATCTCCAAAATATATAAAGAACTCACAGGACTTCACTCTAAGAAGACAAGCAACCCAATTAAAAAAACAGACAAAGGACGTAAGCAGACACTTCTCCAAGGAGGACATACCGAGGATCCAGAGACACATGAAAAGATGCTCTATATTGTTACCTATCAGAGAGATGCAAATTAAAACCACAATGAGATATCACTTCATGCAGGTCAGAATGGCTGTCACAAACAAAGCAACAAACAAGTGTTGGAGAGGTTGTGAAGAAAAGGGAACCCTAGTGCACTCTTGGTGGGATTGCAGACTGGTACAACCACTATGGAAAAAAGTATGGAATTTTCTCAGAAAACTAAAAATGGATCTGCCTTTTGACCCAGCAATTTCACTGCTAGCTTTATATCCTAAGAACCCTGAAACATCAATCCAAAAAAACCTATGTAGCCCAATGTTCATAGAGTGATGCAAATTAAAACCACAATAAGATATCACCTCACATCTGTCCAGAATGGCTATCATTAATAAATCAACAAACAACAAATGCTGGAGAGGATGTGGAGAAAAGGGAATTCCAGTGAACTGTTGGTGATAATGACACCTGATGCCCATTACAAGTGACCCTACAAAAGCTGCTGCCATGGGTACCATGGAGGTCTCCTTCAAATGCTGCAGTGGGGCATAGTTGACTTCATAGCCATAGTCGACTTCACCAAGTCTGGTAGGTCTGCTCACCAGGTGTCCAGGTACCACCCCACAACGCCATTATTGCTGTGACTCATAATCAACAGACAGCTCACCAGGCCACCTGTACAGTGGCATCTTCCCCATAGTATGTAAGGACCCAGTGTAAGAGGCCTGGACTGAGGATGTGGACCTTCAGGTGGACTTGGCCATGAATGTTCACAAGGCCCAAGGGTTCTTTAAAAAGGGAAATGTGGTCATTGTGCTGACCAGTGGCATCCTGGCTCTGGTTTCACCAATGCCATGCTGCAGTGCCCCAGAGCCCCTCCAGCTCCTGCCCCATCCCTTTCCTCAACCTGTCTATTAGTCCAGAACTTGTAGTGCTCACTTAGGGCTCGCCTGTAGCGCAGCATTGGTAAATTGGGACACCATGGGAGAAGACTAACACCTGTAAACCATGGATATTTTTAAGACACTGCTCAGGTGAGGTATCCCAGAGCCAGGCTGCCCATCTATGACCCCACCCAAGCAAGAGAGATAGGGGTATAGGACTGGTGGCTCCAGAGCTTAACGTAGAGGACAACAGCTCCTGCTTCTCCTCCTTTGTTCAGTCTGTCCAGTTCCTATAGAAATGTACACTCAGAGAACCCACAAGCCTAGCCTGAGGTTAGGAGGTAGCCAGCTAGAGAAGGCAGTGGTTCCAGTTTCAGCAGACTCTGGACCTGGCCTACACTTGCTTCTCCAACCCCATCAGCCTTGCCCACTCCCACCTGGTTGTGCACTTCTGTTCCTGCGCTTGACTCAGCTGTCACTGTAGACAAATACTGCATCCTCCACCTTCATTTCCCCCACTCCACCTGCCATCAGGCCTATTGCTATAGAGCCTACATGTATGTCAGTAAACAGCAACTGAAGAAAGAAAATTCTGTAACTATGTATGGTGAAGGCTGTTAACCAGACTTACTGTGGTGATCATTTCTTAAAATATATAAATATCAAATCATTATGTTGTACACTTCAATCTAACAGCATAATGTACTTAAACCAAATTTGCAAAGGAGGAACAAGTTACCTCTGAAACCCAAATAAACAGTAAATGTTGATTCTGCATTAAAGTAAGAAGTGCTGATGAAAGAGAAGAGTTAGTTTCTTACTGCATCAGATATGAATCATCACTGCACTAATGAGAAATGTCTTGTAATTTTACTGAAGTAGCAAAGCCTTCAATTTTACAGGATGCAATGGTCTGACCTTAACTGAAGTTTTATGACAAGTGTTTATAGATCCCATGTGAGTGTACGTATCATTTGAATTTTCTCTCAAGAGGACGTTATCAATATAATGTCATACCTGTATTCCTGGAATGAGTTGGATGTGGTTAAGATCTTTCCTGTAAAGTTATGTGTACTGGCAGAGATGTTAAAGTATCCCATGGGGGAGTTGAGTGAAAATGTATTGTTTTTGCAAAGGTAAAGACAAATTGCTCCTGAGAGACTGTACAACTATGCATAGAATGAAACATATTAGCCAAATTGATAAAAGCAAAATATTTTCTAGTTGATGATTGGATGGAGTGTTAATTCCAGTAGTATTAAGTATGCAGATCTTAATGAAGGATTCCATGGTACTAAGGTTGTTGTAATCCACTGCAAAGTGACATTCATTTATAACAGATTTGAGCACTGGCCAAATTTGATTACTAATGGCAGAAATAACAGGAACACTGCACAATAGGAACTATGCTGCACAATGGTCAGGTGTACCAATCCCCCAGGGACTTCACTACATTCCTCTCAGTTTCACAAACCTCATTGCTGTGGCAGATATTCTCATTAAACACTTATCATGGTCTCTCAGGAGCTTCTCTCTTCAACCATATGTGTACAACTTGCTCTCAGAGTTATCAACAACTGAGGTTTATTTGCACATTTTGAATTTATGTCCACAGGGCATCTTTAGCTTCCTCAGGAAATTGATCCCCATGTGCCTGTCCTTTAAAAGGCAGATAAAAACCTGTGTCTCTCTGGCTAATATAGACTCTGCAAAGTTCATACCCTCCCTTTTAAGGATTTCACAATAATCTCTCTTAAAGCAGAAATATTAAGGAATTTTAAGTCTGTTAAAGTCCTCTCTTCTAATTCTGTCATTGCTAGGGGAGGGGTAGCTGCTATGTTTCTCTTTTTCATTATGCATGTAAAAGACTGTGTCTCTCAGAAACTATTATTTGATTCTGGTTTGGATTCATAGAATGGAAGATAATATACTTCCTTCCTTTGTTAAGCCCCACAAACTTGGTTACTTCCATTAAGAAAATGATAGACTATGAACAGGGAGCCAATATAAAACATGTTAAATTGTATAATATTCAAAGGCTCATGTGGCACACTTTACCTTTTATTTACTTATTAGGAACAATAAGATAAAACAGCCCACTGCAGTCATTCCAATTGTTGAGGATGTGAGTACTGTATGTTTTTAAAGCCACAGATGCTATTTTATAAAAGTGGATCATTAACTCAATCAATTGTGAAAATCTGGATGAAAATGCAAACTTGCCAAAGACCACAGGTTAGTACAAACAGGGAAGGGAGGGTTGTATGGGATCAGATCAATGTCTAACATCACCTACTATCTCTAAAAGCTGTATGGAATAGTGGAGAGATTGACAGGAGTGATTGTGAGAATATAATTTTTCTAACCCATATGCATGTGAATTGTTTTTCCCTCTTAATCAGAAAAACCAAAATGTGCACAGAAAATACTACCACAAAAGTTTTCTTTCTTAGCAATTACCAATTTATCTACAAAGACTCATTGTCAGAAACATTGATCTCCCTCTTCCTGATTTTTGCATGACAAAAATAGAGAACAAGAAAGTTTCAGACATAATAAATTGTGGTCCTTAGTTTGCCACTGAGGACTCTTTAAGACTGGAACAAAATTCACTCTGAGACACTGCCTATAAATCTCTCCACATCTCTCTTCTCAAAGATATATCCAAAATCAGCACCCAGAGACTCTGAATGTAGCAGAGAAACATATACAAATGATAATTAATATGATTTATTGATGCCTGAGCCTTGTTATGTACACAAAAAAACCTCACAATATAAAATGAGATAGCATTAACCAAGTTCTAAAGGCCTATTACAAATTTATCCCACAAAAGAAGCAAAGGTACAGAAAATATTCATCAAGATCTTCAACATTATCTGTGTGGGGAAACTTCCTCTGGTGCATAAAACAAGTCAGAGATGGGAACAGTAATGGAAATGAGGACCTATGGCAGATATTCAGTGGAGCATCAAATAATTGTACTAGAAGAGAAGAAAGTACAGAAAGAGAAAAAAGCACACAGAAGGCAAAATAAAACACAGAAAACAGAATCAGATAGAGATATTTCTACCAAAAGCAGAGAATTCAGAGAGATTGATAAGAGTCGGAGAAAAATGATTTAAATGTAGAGATTTCCTAGAGATTTTAGGAGAAAAGGGTAGGTTCAAACATATTCTTCTGAAAAAATTAATTATTCTGTAATATATTCTGTTATGAATGCAGGAATAGATGAACTTAAGGAACTACAAGACTTTAAGAAAATTCCACTTATATAGAAGACATGGGGCTTCTGTGGAGCCTAGCCGAGTCCAATGGGAAACTGGCTTGAGCCAATTGGCTGGAGAATATTACAGTATATGACCTGATTCTGTTGGTTACAATCAGCTTTATCTCTCCCACCCTGAGAAATTGAGTTTTTGTCATTCTTGCCTTTTTCTTTTAGATCTACTGAAGGTCAACAATGAAAAACAGGACCATATTCACTGAGTTTATTCTGTTGGGCCTCACAAATGAACCTGAAGTCCAGGTCATGATATTCATCTTTATGTTTCTCACATACATGTTAAGTGTCCTAGGAAATCTGACCATCATCATACTCACACTGGTAGATCCCCACCTCCAGACCCCCATGTATTTCTTCCTCCGGAATTTCTCCTTCCTAGAAATTTTCTTCACTTCCATTTTCATTCCCAGATTTCTGACCAGCGTGACAACAGGAGATAAAGCCATCAGCTTTGCTGGATGCTTGATTCAATATTTTTTTGCAATATTCCTTGGGGCAACAGAGTTTTACCTCTTGGCCTCTATGTCCTATGATCGCTATGTGGCCATCTGCAAACCCTTACATTACCTGACCCTGATGAGCAGTAGAGTCTGCATACAACTCGTGTTCTGCTCCTGGCTGGGGGGACTCCTGGCTATCTTAGCACCAATCTTCCTGATGAGCCAGGTAGATTTCTGTTCCTCCAATGTGCTGAATCACTATTACTGCGACTACGGGCCCCTCCTGGAGCTTGCCTGCTCAGACACAAGCCTCTTAGAACTAGTAGTTATCTTCTTGGCTGTTGTGACTCTGGTGGTAACGCTGGTACTGGTGACACTTTCTTATATACACATAATTAGGACCATTCTGAGGATTCCTTCTGCCCGGCAAAGGACAAAGGCTTTTTCCACTTGTTCCTCTCACTTGATTGTCATCTCCCTCTCCTATGGCACCTGCATGTTTATGTACATCAATCCCTCTGCAAAAGAAGAAGGTGCTCTAAACAAAGTAATAGCTGTGCTCATTACTTCAGTTACTCCCTTGTTAAACCCCTTCATTTACACTCTAAGAAATCAGCAAGTGAAGAAGGCATTCAAGGACACCATAAAAAAGATTGTGAAACTTTAAAAAACAGAATACATTTCAATGTACTTAGTGTGCCATATTTTAAGTTCTGAACAGGCCCTTAAGGATAAAAATATGAAAGGCATCTGTCCTAATTTCAAGGAATCTAGAGTTTAGTGTGACAGAAAGGTGTATGAACTATAAATTTATGTTTATTTTAAAAATAAAATAACATGGTGTTATTAGAGAAGGGTGAATGAGAATTTATTTAACAAACAATTGTAAAAAATTAACCATTTCCCAGAAATAACTTGAATTTTAAGAAGAAAAACTCATTATTTATTTAGGAGAGTAAAAGGATAAGAATTTTGAGTAAAAAAAAAAAAAGTAGCCAAATGATGGAAGTATTCAATTACTAACTATAGAGTTACTTGAACTTTGCTAAGTCAAGAGAAGTTTAAAGAAAGAAAGTGATATCATCATGCCTTGGCCGGTGGCTCAATTGGTTGGAAGGTCATCCCATACATTCAAAGGTTGTGGGTTCAATTCCTGGCCAGGGCACATACATAGGCTGTGGGTTTTATCCACAGTTAGAGTATGGACGGGAAGTAACTGATCAATGTTTCTTTGTCACATTGATGTTTCTCTTTCGCTCTCTCCCTCTCTCTGTCTGTCTCTCTTTCTCTGTCTCAAATTAATAATAAAATATACTCAGGTGAAGGTTTTTAAAAAAGAAAGTGATGTTATCGGCATTTCTTGAAAGGAACCTAGCACTGGCATTGTTCTTCATCATGGAGCCCTGTAGACTGTACTTCTATTGAAGTATCAATAACTTTAATTCTCCTCTCCTTTTTCACTTATTTTCCAACTGTAGCAATTATAACTTCCATCTTTCCATAAGGAAAAGTTTTTTAAAGGATACACATTTAATCTATTTTTCTATAAATAAGGTAAAAATTATCAAGATGTTTGTCAACTCACATGTCTTCTTTTAGAAGTTATGGTTAAAAGTGGTTTCTAGAGGCAAGGTTGGCAGACTTTTATATGTCTTAAAATGATCTATTGTTGCTTTTCTTCACTGACATCTTCTTAAGTTAATAGATGACATCTCCCACTCTCTCTGTATAGTATTTTCTGATGATTATGTTTTTGTTAATTGTAATGTTATTTTCATCCTTCTGTCTACTTTTGTTAGACACTGGAAAAAACAAATTCTGTGATATGGCTTCATTCTTTTAACTTTTCCCAAATTTCTGCTTTTGTTTTGAACACTAGCCATGGAAGCCTGTTTCATAAAGTAGAAAATAACATATAGTATCAATAGAGTTTCATATCCAGAATGTCCCAAATTATGAGTCTTAGCAACCAATTACAAATAGACTACCTACCCTACCAAGAACTCCTCACATGTATTTAATCTGAATAGGTCGTAGAAGGGGTTCGACTTCAATAGAACTAAAAAAACTTTGGAAATCTGAGTACTTGCACATAATTTAGTAATATCCTGATGCATTATGCAATGCTGGTTACTGTTTGGGGTTCAAGTGGAACATCATCTAGTGTAGTCACTGCTTTATATGCAGTAATGATGTTGAATGGAATATGCTTCTCTGGCATTTAAAGAACAAGATGTATTGAACTGATCACCAGAGAATATTTCTAGAACCATAGAAAATACTGAATATATATTATTTTAATAAAAGGACTTTAATGTCATTCAAAGCCATTGCTACTTTGAATATCTGGGTTTCCTTAGTGGCCAAGCTGGAGAATAGTGATGACTTTGAGTTTATTCCAAATTCATTGGGCTATTAATTGATAGATAAATGTACTGACACAGCCCCATCTGAATCATTAAGTTTCCCGAGATCCACATTTCTACCAGAACCTACAGTGAAGTGGAAGGTAATGCCATATAGTGGATAAAAATATGGGCTTCAGGTACATGATTTTCTAACCCCTGTGCTGTACATCTAAAACTAATACAGAATACTATTCAGTGTAAACTGTAATTGAAAATAATTTAAATTAAAGAAATAAATTAAACCACCAGAATATATACGCTTGCTATTGTTCAAATCCCAGATAATTAACCTTCTATCAGAGTTACTTTAGGAGAGTTGCTTGTTTGCTCTAAAGTTCAATTTTTGGAACCTTAAAATGTCATAATAATAGTGTCTGCCTTATAGGGTAACATTGAGCATTATATGAGATGTTTGGTAAAAATATATATATATATTTTTAGAAAGATGGCAGCAAAGTAGGACAAAGGATTCTGCTTACCCCCATGCACCACAGAAAAACCTGGCTGATCTGCAGAGGAGCGCAGTGGATAGCCAGCCTATAGGAAGGTAAGACTCTAGAAATTGGAGTGGACTCTGAATGACCAGGCAGTGAGGAGACAGCTGCAGGTCAATAAGGTTGAGGGAACAGCGCAGAGGCCACAGGCCATCCACCAGGCTTCACCAGGGCCTGAGCCGGTCTGCCTCAGTCTCTGGGAGCCAAGGGCTGGCAGGAAGGTCCTTGGAAGAGAGCCAGTCATCAGCTCCCTCCCTACCCCACAGGGCGCAGTTTGAAAAATGCCAGGAGAGATCTGTTTGCTTAAAGTGTCAAAGAGAGGAATGGGCATAGGAAGCAAACCAGAGGGCTTTGATCACCCATGGAGTCTGTGGTCACCAGCTTCGGAGAATTAAGAGTTGCCCCTGTGTTCCCCCATAGCACTGGGAAAGTATCGCACCCAAGCCTGGAGGACCAGGGAAGCCTGGCACACCCACACCCCAGCCCAGGACTGTGAATCCTGGGGAAAGTCTGCTGTTAGTGAAGCACTGGGCAGATGCACCAGTCCAGATCTTGGGAGAGCACTCGTGAGACCGGCTGAGTTCACCGAGAAGGGAGAAAAGCCACACCTATCGCCCCTCAGAGTGCTGTAGCTAGTATGACTAGAAGAAATGGTTTGACCAGCTGGAAACCAACAAGAGTGATAAAAAGGACTTGGAATGCTGAAAAGACCAGAGTTGGACTCAAAGAAGGAGCATCCCAACAGTAGAGACAGAGAGACAAAATTCACTTTGCTATAACAGAAAAACTACAAGTTACTGCATATTGGGGGGGGGGGGGGGGTTGGTTATTTTTTCATTATTCTTACATCTTTTATTTTAATAGTACCTCTGCATTCCTCCCCTTTCTGTATAGTCTTCTTTACCTTGGCTGAATATATTCTATCACTTCACAGGTTTCCCCTGTCCCCTCAATCATAGTGTATTGCTAATTTACTGTCCTTTACTTCCCCTTGCCCAGTTAGCACACTATTACGGGTCCAATGCTCCCCAATCTTGGTATATCATAGATTCTGTCATATGATTGTTTATTTTAAATAAATAAACATTATTTATTTATTTAAATAATATAATGTAAATAAATTTAAATTTATTTAAATAATAATAATCATGTAATTTAAATAAAATAATGTCTATTATTTTAAATAATAGTTGTTACATACTATTATAAATACAACACGACATCCACCACCAGATCTTAGCCCACTTCACTGGTACCTGAACTATAATGCTGTAGTGGTTAACTCTATTTTTTCTCACACTACATCTATTTACCATCCTTTATTCTCACCTTATTTCAGAATCTGACCTCCCTCAACCTCACTCCTTTCTAGATCCAAATCACAAAATTTCCCTCCCCAACAAGAGCCTTATCTTCTTTCCATCCTTTTTAAAAAGTGGCTAGTTGGGTGGAAGATTATGATTATCACTGTACATAGCCAGGGGATCTTCTATCTCTTCTCTGCTGGCTACTACTGCAAATATCATAGAATACTCTCCTGCTATCATAAACCAGTTTGCCTTCCCCTCCAACTGATCACAAAAAGAGAGAGAAGGTGGAAGTGGTGAATACCAGAATACCCGAAGGAAGAGGAAACCCAACAACAAAGGAACCACCAACAGATAACAACAGAAGAAAAAGAAGGAGGGAGTAGAAACAACACAAACCTCAACCCAAGGCCTACCTGGAAATACAACTAAACAGCGGAGAAACTACCCAGGGAAAACAACTCAACAAGAGCAAAAGAGAATCCTCAAAACCCTGTACACACAGAAGAACTAGCTTCAACACAGCCTGCCCTCACCAGCACAGCAAATTAAAACAAGTAGTGGACAAAGCAACCAACATTTCACCAGCTGGTGGGAAGGACCTACCAAAAAAAGACCCAGAAACAACAAAAAACCTAAGACAAACTCAGAGTCAACTAAAAGGACAGCCCAAGACCAGCAAGCTGGGGAGATCAAGGAGACTACACCACTGAATCTCACAGGTATTCTACCACAGAAGTTCAAACTATAAATCCAGAAAGCCAGAACAAATCAATTTAAGAAGTTGAAGCTAAGAAGAAAAGTTTCACAAACAATGGGAAGACAAAGAAACAATCTCCCAGTGAAAGGAAAGTAGGAAGCCTCAGAAAGAATGCTAGATGAAATAGAGGCAAGTCAACTATCAAATATTCAATTCAAAGCACTGCTATTCAGGAAGTTCAAAGAGCTCACAATGAGCTACCAGAAACAAGAGGGGAGATAAAATGAACTCAATGCAAACTATATCAACATGAAAAAGGAATAGAAACTATCAGCAAGGGCTAAGAGAAAATGAAGAATACAATTTCAGAGCCGAAGAAAACAGTGGAAGGAATCAAAAGCAGGATGGATGAAACTGAAGATCAGATCAGCAAGTTGGTGGACAAAGGAGAAAGAAACTCACAGAAAGAGCAAGAAAAGGAAAACAGTCTCAGAAAGAATGAAGAGGGATTAAGAGAAATTCAACACAATATGAAACATAATAATATCCGAATAACAGGGATACCAAAATGAGAAGAAGAAGAGCAAGGGATAGAAAATCTATTTGAAAAAGTAATGATGGAAAATTTCCATAATTTGATGAGAGAATAAGGCACACAAATCCAGGAATCACAGATAGTCCCAATCAAGAGGAACCCAAAGAGGCCCACTTCAAGACACATCATCATTAAAATGGCAAAATTTCAAGATAAAGAGAGA